GATGTGTCCGACCCGCGCCCCCGCGGGTTGGCAGAGCCCGTCGCGCAGATCCTACCCCCAAACACGTTTTTGACGGTTTTCAGGCTGTTTCGATCAGATTTATCTGTTCTAGGGGTTCCCAACTGACTTGATATCTTTCACAAACGTGATTAGGCCGTTATTGACTGAAGATAAGGCCAAATCACTCATCCTCATCCAAATACCTGCATCCGAAGCCTAGAAATACAGGCCTAGGGGCTCAGTTCACGGGGGGAGGGAGATCAAGAGGGCGAAACACTTCCGAATTGGAGAATGGAGCCACGAATTTACAGCAAGGGTTAGCAGATCTTGGCGATCTTCTGTGCATAAAGAGTGGAGTTCGAGAGATCTGAGACGCATCCCCTATTCCTCCGGATTTAAGCTTAGTCTTAATCTCGAGAAGAGCTGTGATCTCGCTTGGTCAGGATCATCGCTGCAGCGATTACTTCCTTCGTGAAGTAAGAGCTTTGATCAACTTAATTTGTCAACCGGATCTGATCTGCGATGGTCCACGAATATCAACATCCCCGGCACATGCGAAGTTCCCACGCAAGTAGCAGGTGATAAACATTTGTTGTGTTGTTTGACAAGAGTTGTACTTTTTATATTTTTATTGTATAAGGAGATCTTATAAAAAGATAGACATTTTCTTATTTATTTGAGTTTATTATAACGATCAAAGTTGTAATAGATTCGATAGCAATAAAAACATCAACTTTAATCCAAACACGCTGACGACCACAGTTGAGCTAATAGCTTCGCTGCCGAAGCTATCGTGTCGCAACCATGGATCCGGATCCCTGTTGACGAGGAGATCGAGTATGAGGTTGAACAACAAAAGTTCGAGGAGTATCTATCGTCCTCCTCCTCTAGATCCTCCTCCATTCGCAAGCGCAGGAAGATCAACGCCCTTATTGCTACCGCAATCACGCCTTGCAACGCCCTTCCGGCCTCCAACAAGGCCGGATCTGCAGATCTGAACTCGTCCTTAATCAAGGAGTTGAGTACTGAAGGCGCGCCTACTTTATCGAAAAGAGCTCTCCAAAGGCGACACTAATGCCTCGCGCGCCAAGGCGCTAAGGTTTTGAAGCCCGTAGACGGGATCCACTATGAAGCGGATCTAAAATTCAAGGAGCGTCGAGCGTCCCAACAGCGGGCGAATGACCAACCCTCTAAGTACTCAACGAATGAATGGATCCAAGTCAGAAGGACTCATTTAACCCTTGAGGAACGCATCCAAAAGAGCCGTGCACTGTTTGCGCACATGCGAATTCTTGTGCAAAAGGCACAAAAGATGCAAAAAAAGGACATAACCAAGAAACAACCAAGACTGCATCAAATTTGGACGCCAAAGTACGAAACATCGGTCGAAAAGATCAAAAAATACGGGTCACTTCAATCTGACCCTCCAAGCCACGGGTCACTCAAGTCCGACCCGCCAAGTCGCGGGTCACTCAAATCCGACGACCCTCCAAGCCACGGGTCACTCAAGTCCGACCCGCCAAGTCGCGGGTCACTCAAATCCGACCCGCCAAGCCGTGGGTCACTCAAGTCCTACCCTCCAAGCCGCGGGTCACCCAAGTCTGACCCTCCAGCCTGTGAGTCACCCAAGTCTGACCCTCTAGCCCGCGGGTTACCCAAATCTGACCCTCCAGCTCATGGATCACCCAAGTCTAACCATCCAGCTCGCGGGTTACTCAAGTCCGACCTTCCATGCCGTGGGTCACTCAAGTCTGACCCTCCAGCTCGCGGGTCACTCAAGTCTGATGCTCTATGTCGTGGGTCACTCAAGTCTGATCCTCCCAACCGTAGGTCTTACCCGCGCCAGGGCCAAGACAGGAGACATTCCGCCCCTGCTCCATCGAGTTCTGCCCCTGCTCTAATTGATCCAATACTTCTAGTGAAGCCTCACGGCAGCATGGATTTGTTCAAAAGCAAGAAGCTAATGGCGGGGGGGTTGGGTCCTTTGCACAAGGATCGAGGCAAAGTTTCGATCAAAAAGCATTTGGGTCCGGTGACTGAACCCCGAGCAACTACTCGAGCTGGGGGTTGCACACGCCCTTACAATAAGTCAGAGCCTTTCTATAATGGGAAACTCCTGTAACTGACCGCCTTGGACTGGGGGTCAGTGTACAAGAGCCCGTTAAGGTCTCACGTTCACGAAAGTGTGGCTCCAAACATGTGACTCTTGAGAACGCCATTAAGGCAAAAGTCCTCAGAAGGAAACGTCTTCGTCAGACGACGACGTTATACCTGAGAAGTTATGCCAACATGCAATAGATTGCTCTGGTCATTATGCTGATGAGTTGTACTATCGAGCTGGGGGTACGAACAGACCTCGAAAGAGAGATTCTCGGGAGATAGACTTTCATTGTCGGTGTACCAAGATAATCAGGATAGTATTATCAGTAT